AATCAAGAAGAAGAGCTAATTTTAAAGCCCAGAGATGAGCAATTATTTGTAAGGCTGGAAGATGTGGATGTGACTTTGGACAATTACTTTCGGCCATTATTGCTTACATCGATTCTTTGATTCCGAATGTTGGACTTTTTCAAACGACAATTTCACCGAGACATAACATTAAAGCAATCACACTAAAGAAATGGCGGGATAAAACTGGTGAAAATAAGTGTTTATTATATTTTGTCATTCCAGGCTTAGATTTATTTCAAATTTATTCTGTTCAACGTTTTATCATAAATAACGAAACACAAGCCCTTGATTTTGTAGAACAATATGTACTTGAGATTGTTCTGAAATCATAGAAAATAATATTTTTTTATTTAAAATTAATATCATACTGTACATATGTTAGTTTTAGCAATAAAGACTAGTTTAATTTTTTTATTATTCTCACTTTAGGTTTCTGTTTTACCAATACATAATAAACTTTAATAATGTTAACGCTGAAAATACCTTCTAAAATGCAACCTATATATAGTATATAAACGGTATATATATTTATTTTTATGGTAGGTTTCATCAATAGAAACACATCATTACACATTCTATGGCGTTCCTAGCGACCATTTTATCATACATATCCAATTGGAAAATCCGACATATCAAATCTTAAATGAGCACATAATTATACTTACGGCTTATATTATAGTCATAATGAGAGAAAAGCTGAAAGGACATTTATGCAAATCTTACAGCGAGAATAATCTTTTCCGCGCATTTCCCGCCTCTTTTCACGGGATTTATTATGATAATCTAAGTTTATGTTTTCATTTATTTTGTAGCATAAATGCAGTACTTCCGACCAAGTGATTGCCACTCCGAACTAATTCTTGTAATTTTTTATGACATTTCTGGATTCCATTGTTGTTTCATTATGAATAAATTTTTTTGGTCGATCAATTTCCCTAACTGTTAAAAGGTTTGCCTGTGCAGCGTCTTAAAATAATATTTTCCCACACATATGTACAGTTTACAGCTGTCAAAAAAGACCAACAGTGTGGCATAGTGACTCAATTATAAAAAAAAAAAAAGAACTTAAACCAATGTCAGAACTACCAACCTACAGTCAAAACTGGGTAACTCAAATTTGTAATGGCTTTTACTAATTTGTCCTTTCGTTGATTTTTTTCCAATTCGTTTTCTAGACTTCAACTCAGCGTTTCGATATAGCTGCTTTATGTGTTTACCTAGTAAATGATAGTTCATGGTCAAATAATCACGCTGAAGAAGATTGGAAGCGACGATTTTTAGCTAGTATTTTCCGTCACTTTGCCATCAATGAAAAAGGTATAAATTTGACATTATCATTGATGATGAAATCGAAATAATTTAATTTATTTCATATAATTAATTACATTTATAGTAGAACAACATGTTTTATTAAAGATGCCGGATGACGCGGGAAATATTCCATTGGCAATCGACTTATTATCTTCTTCTTTTAAACAACAATTAAATGATGAAAAACAAAAAGACATCCGGGAAGAAATAATTTCCGACACGCTTTTAATTTGTCTTGGACTTTCACCATCCAATTTGGAAAGTGTTGAAAAGAAGCTAAAAACAAGTAATCATAATTCTGGAGAAAATCTAAATTTAAAAGAAAAACTAGATAGTGCAATATCAAGTGCGATTAGCAATGATTCATCATCCGATACTTCGTTGCCACCACCAATTATGCCAGCGGAATATGATTCCAGGGCAAGAGCAATTTTATTTAAACTCGCCTTTTATCTAGACATTTCTCCACCTGCTGTCAAATCTCTGGAGAAAGCTTTTGCGCAGAATTTATATTTTTTGCAACAACAACAATTGGAAGCCGAGAAAAATAATTCGCAAGATGATCATGAAATGCAAGGATTGCGTAATAGCGCAACCGAAAATTTAAGTAAACATGAAAAGCGAAAGAAAGCATGGCGTTGGATGGCCACTGGAGTTGGTGTGGTCGTTGGTGCTACAGCAATTGGATTAACCGGTGGAATAGGTTGGTAGTACGTATTTAATCCTTCCTTCCTTTATTTTTTTCTTTGTAACAAAATAAAAATAATGAATTAATATTGTCAAGGAAGCCGCACCACTCGTAGCGGCTGGTATAAGTGCAATAACTGGAGCAAGTATTATCGTTACAGCTGCGTCTAGTGTTGTTTTGATGACCTCTTTATTTGGAATAGCGGGAGGTGGACTTGCTGGTAATGTTAATATTTATATATTTTTTTTAATATTCATATTATTTTGAGTATTTAGGTATATATTTCAATTTTTCATAGGTTACAAAATGCACAAGAGGACTCGGGGTCTTAAAGAATTTGCTTTTACTAGGATCACACAAGATGATTCTATCCCTCTCATACCTTCACTTCATGTTTGTATCCTTCATAAATTAACTTCGTTTTTATTTTATATATATGTATATATAAGGTAATTTGATGTTTTGTAATTAACAGGTGAATATTGTTATTTCTGGGTATCTCACGGAAGAAAATGAAGAAACAAATACTCCTTGGATTTCGGTTTATCAAAATAGTTTGAATTTTGGTGATACATTCGAATTATCTTTTGATACGGAAATACTTCGATCTCTCGGACGTGCTTTTCGAAGATTTTTAGCAGAATCCGCTGTTAAGGTGGCAGCGAATTCGGCCCTTCAACAAACAGTATTTGCTACCTTAGCAAGTGCTTTGCTATTACCGGCTGCTTTAATGAAGGCCGGAGACATGATTGATAATCCATGGGCTTTGGGTGCAGATCGTGCTCAAAAAGCCGGATTAATTTTAGCGGATGTCTTGATTGAAAGAGTTCAAGGAAAAAGACCAACTGTTTTGGTAATTGTATACAATTAAATGTGTGTGCGTCTTTTTTTTTAAAAAAAAAGGGAAATTAATTTACTTCTATTTTAGGTTGGATATTCGCTTGGTGCTTTGGTTATTTGGCAATGTTTACTTGAGTTAGCAAAGAATCAACAATATGGATTAATTGACACAGGTAAGAATAACATTTTCTAAATTTAAATAATATCCTGAATTTTATTAAAATAATTAATAAATTTTTATTATTTAGTTGTTTTAATTGGAGCACCTATTACATCTACACAATCTTCCAAATGGAAAGATGCTTTAAGTGTTGTTAATCGTAGATTTGTTAATGCTTATGCAACGAATGATATCGTACTTGGATTAATATATAGAATGCATTCATTAGATTTAAATATCGCTGGATTACACGCTGTAAATTTTAACAGAGTTGAGAATTATGATGTTACTAAATTTACTTCAGGACATTTAGGATATCGTGATCCCGAAACTTTAACAAAAATTCTTAAAGAAATTGGATTAGATTAAGGAGGCAATAAAGGTAATTGTTTTCTTGATATCTGTGTAATATTATTAATTAATAGAAAATTTTGGATGACGTTATATTTAAGTTTATAAATTTTTCTGCACCAAATATTGTATTAAAAAAAAGAACATACCGCAATTATAATCTTAAATAGATTAGACGTTTATTATTTTTAACATTGGCATATATAACAATAAAAAGTTTTTTTAAAAAATTTGTTGTCACCTTCTCTACTACTATTGTTACTTAATAAATCGAAATATATAAAAAATTAAAAATGTACCTATCAAATTAATACCAATTATAATTGGCAGATGATTCTACTTGTTTATTGGATTTTCAGAAGATTCATCAGTTTTGGCTTTGGGAGTTACATCAAATTTTTCAGGGAATGAATTGAATGTTGGCGTTACTAGTTTTGAAGGTGTGACGGGCACTATAATTGGTTAAAATTAAAAAGAGAGTGTAAATTAATTATTCAAAACAATTCGAAATGATGTATGTAATAATGCTACTCATTAATATATTATTACCTCTACTTCTAGGTGACGCAGCATAAGAAGCTCGTAGTTGGACGTCCACACCAACTGATTTTGGCAAATTCGATTTACGCAATAATTTTCGTGCAGCTGGTGATAGTAATGATGCACGCTCTCTTGGGCTAGAAATTCTGTTTTAAAAAAATTAATTTGAAATGTGAATAAATAACACGCAAACAACAAGAAGCAGCAATTTCCTTGCATACTTTGTCAGGGGACTTTGGGTAGAGTATGGACTTGGTGACCTCATAGACAAATTTCGCTTGCGTAAATTCCGCGAAGCACTACTTGAAAGATTCATTCCAATGATTTCTCTGCGTGGTGTAGGTGGTAATTGAAAAGCACGGCCTAAAATTATAATCAAAAAAATGTTTAATGAGATTGCAATTCAATTTCATTAAAAAAGAAATTTCTTTTTTTTTTCTTCATAATGTTCCATTTAAACTCTTTCTATTCAAAATTACCATTCTAAAAAGCTATTATAATATTCCTCCACTCGGCATCTGAATGATGGTTTTCGTTTAGGAAAGGAAAAATCTCAACAAAAGAAGTGTATAGTAAAGGAATAAAATACATACCTGGCGTTTGGTCTCCTCCAATCAATAACGGTGTACCCTCTATCATACCCCAAGTCATTAATTCTGAGCTGTCAATTTGTGACGGGTTCGGAGAAGGTGTAGCAGTTACAAAACTATAACCGCCGACTGTGGGAGTTTCAGACGCGCTACTACTGCCTATAAAGAAGCATATATATTCATGTTTAGCGATTTGTAATAATATTAAAAAAAACTATTAATAAAATGAGAAACAACATACTATCAAGATCGATACCACCAGTAGCCGCTGCCGCTGCGGTCGCTGCCGCATGACTTGTGATCGACTAAAGAACATCATTAACAGGTCAAATTTGGAGGATTTTTTTTTCTTTTTTTTTTTAAAAAAAAAAGAACTTTCGTTTACCGCTTCTTCTGTAGATTCAAACCTTGTAGCATGATGAACAATCTTCTTGGGTGCGCATCGTGTATTTTCTTCGTCTGCACCTTTATCATGACCTTCCGGATAAAACATGAGGGAGTTGCGAATCTAAAAGCAAAAAATATTTTAAAATCCTATTTTTTTTTTTTTATTTTTTTTTTTAAAAAAAAGAGAAAATTTATGAATAAAGGGATACCTTGTAATTCCATGTTTCAATTCCAGCAATTCTGGACTGATCAGGTCCTTCAATCATTTTTGTCTCATCCTTATTATTTTCCAACAGTAGTTGATCATCTTTTTCATACATCCATTTATATTTTTCCTTTTGTTGTTCATTAGACTTTTTCATTATTTCTGAAAAGGTAAGGTCAATTATGGTTAAGGAATAAAACGGAGGAAACAAAATAATAAAAGAAATCTACCATAATGTTAATTAAATTTAAATGATAAATAAAGAGATGCAAATATATATATTGCAAGGATATGAAGCATTATCTTCGCTAGTGTATTTTGCTTGAAATGCATCCAAGGATAAATTGGCATTGTATTTTTTTGGCAATGGCTTTTTAAAAACGTCCGTTCCACTAGATGATATTGGTGTATCCCATTCTCCACGTACTACGGTTGCAGTTTTTGGTGTTGCTAAAAGAAATGTTATTAATATTAAGTTATTGTTATTTTAACAGTAAATGTAATTTTTAAAAAAAGATCGAGCAGATGTATACCGGGTGTTTTCGCCGTAGGAGTCGTTAATTCAGTTAGCTTACGGGTAGCTTCCTTAATGAGTTCGGGATTATTTGTATTCCAAGCGTCCACATAATCGTGTTGTGCCTCGAGAGTTAAAAGAGAAGGGAAAAAATCTCGCTTAATGATCTCACTTAAAGCTTCTGTATATGAATCCTCATCCAAAACTTCTTGCTTTGGTCTTGGGGAGTTGTTTAATGATTGGTCGTTAATTCGAACTAGGTCTTTTCTTGGAGTTGAATCCTGTTCCATTTTGATAGGTAATAAATAGTATAAAATGGCTTTTTTTTGTTTCGTTTTTTCTCAAAAATAGTTGTTTACGTAATAACATCATCAGTCGATCTTTGTGTCACTGATCGACGAGATAATGAGACTAATATTTTTTTTTTTGAATCATTAGATTATCTCAACTTTTTATATTGTCAAAAAGTATCATGGACTCAGAATATAGTGAATCAGAATACGATCCGAATGGTAAGATAACTGTATATAATAATTATTTATCAAAAACTATTTTTAATTACTAAATTCCCCTTTGATTTAAAGATGAGCGTTGGGATGATTGGGAGGAAGAGGAGGGAGATCATCAAGATCTTAAATGTTTATTTTGTGATGAATTATTCCCTTTGGCGAACGACTTGTTTAGCCATTGTTTGTATCATCATGGATTTGATTTTCAAAAAATTCGTACAGAATTGAGTACATAACCTTTGAATACCCTTTAAATACGAATTCTTACTTTTATGTCATATTCAAAATTAGTATAAAATTTTTTTGATCTTTGATAATTACATTATAGAACTCGATTTTTATCAATGTATTCGTTTGATAAATTATATTCGTCATCAGGTAACTTCACATTTTATAAACACAACTTTTTAAAAAATCATAAAATTGTCATTTATCATGGATTTGATCTTTATGCAGGTTTTGAACGATTCCGAATTCAAAAATTTTCAAGAGATTCTCGACAATGATGTTTACCTTAAGCCAACACTTGAAGGAGATCCTTTATTATATGGTACCATACATAACAAGAATATGACTTGATCGTGATATTGATTTTAATTTATAATCGTATATATTGCAGCTTTTGATGATGTAGAAAATGATGATGATTTTGATAAAGATGTGGGTTCGCAAAGTCAAGATCAAAAGGGAATTGACATCGATCCTACTACTCCTTTAGAGCATGAACTTTTAAAAAAACTTCGCCTTTCAGAGGAACGACATTTTTACACCGAAGTAAGGCTTAAAACCATTGAATCACAATTCAATGAATATCGTAGTATGGTCAAAGAATCCTTCTTTGACGTTTATTCCGATGTAGTAAGGTTAGAAGTTACATTAATTTTATATTTAAATTATACAAATTGATTACGAGTATTGAGCATAAATCAAACGATTATCTCTTTGTTTTTATTATTATTTAGCGAACGATCAACAAAATCTTTAAAGGTTTCAAGCAGTTATGAAGATAGGACAAATTATTATTTTAACTCTTATGCAAAAAACGGTTTGACATCTTTAATTTCAAAGAAATTTTTTGAAAGATCCCTTATTATCATCTTGTAGGCATTTTAAGTGTAAAAATCATTTCATTTTTTTTTCTTTAGATATTCACGAAGAAATGCTAAAAGACCGAATTCGCACTGAGAGTTACCGCGACTTTATTTATGAAAATAAAGACATCTTCAAAAACAAGGTTTGAATTTTGAATTTCTGTCAAATTGGTAAAACATTTTTCCACCATTTACATTATATTGATAAGTTCTTGTTAATTTCAATATAGATTGTATTGGATGTTGGATGCGGTATGAATTGTTGTTAAGCAACCAAACTATGTTAAAAATTAATAAATTATTAATAATATTTAATATTCTCCTTAGGTACTGGTATATTATCAATGTTCGCAGCAAAAGCGGGCGCGTCCAAAGGTTTGTTCTTTTCTTTGCTTTTTTTTAAAAAATAATGATGCGTTCTAAATGAAGATTAGAATTTTTTACAAAATTCAATTTCTTTATAAAGTTCTCTCCGTGGATAAGTCGGATATAATAGAAAGAACTAAAGAAATTGTAAAAGAAAATCAATTGGATAATATAATTACGTAAGTTTGCATGAATTTAAGCAATTGAAATAATTTACATATAAAAATTAATTGATGTTATTTAGATTAATTAATGGAAAGGTCGAAGAGGTAAATCTTCCTGTGCAAAAAGTAGATATAATAATTTCCGAGTGGATGGGATATTTCTTATTTTTTGAGGCTATGTTGGACTCGGTGATTGCTGCGCGTGATAAATGGCTGGCACCAGGCGGCATTCGTAAGTTATATGAGCATACTAAGGAAAGAAGTATAACAGGATTTAAAATTTTTTTTTTTTTGAAATTTAGTTGCGCCCAGTCATTGTCGTCTTTTATTAACAGCAATTGAAGATGAAGAATTATTCAATGACACTTTTAATTTTTGGAACGATGTCTACGGTATTAATGACGGAAGTTCATGGCATTTTTAAGAAGTCGATACATTTATTATCAATTTATTTATATCTAATCTCATATTATCGCAGGGTTTAAAATGACGGCCATGAAATCTCCTATACAAACTTCGGTCATAGTAGAATATGTGAAACCGCAGGCTATAATTACAAATGTCGTACCCGTTAAGGATGTGCCCCTACATACAATCCATAAATTCCGGTTAGATTTCACCTCACCATTTACCTTGGTATCCACTCGAAATGGTTATATTCACGGGTTCTTGGGATATTTTGATACGTGGTTTACACGTGACGATCGTGAAATTCCATCATCTCAGAATATTGATGATAAAATTGATGGGGTTTTAGGTTTTACCACGGGTCCAAAGGGTGAAGTTACTCACTGGAGACAAACCATTTTCCTCTTGGAGCAAAGCATAAAAGTTGAACAAGGTATTAGATTATTGATTTGTTTTTTTGGGATTGGGAGGAGATATGATTTCACCGTTTTAACAATCGACATTTATTTCTATTAGGAACAATAATTAATGGCACAATGGATTGCAAAAAAAGTATAGATAACCCGCGTGATCTTGATTTCGAAATTCGTTATCAAGTAGTGAATCAAAAAGAGGAAGATCCCAAACAACGTATACAAAAGTTTTATTTGCGATAACCCTTTGAAGCGATTATTATGCGACTTTTAAAATCAATTTTTTTTTATATAATTTAATGTGCTGTTTTGTTTTTTAAAAAATTTATATATATTATATATTATATATGTATATGTATATATAAATATATCAAAAATGCGAAAAAAAACCCCCTTAAAATTTTAAATAGAAATAAATAATTTATTTCATCACCCACCAATTTCTAAAAATGTATAATAAAAAAATTCTAAATTTTTTTTGAATGCCTTAAGAATGAATGTCTTTGAATGCTTTAATAATACAACAATGAGCGAGAAATCTCAAATATCATTAGGTCGATGAAATAAATTTCACCCTAGTAAATAAAACAACGAATATTTTTTTTTAAAAGCTGTCTAGCAAAAAAAAAAAAAAAAAAAAAATTAAACTAAATAGAGAATATTCTCTAATCGAGAAAAAAAATTAATATTAAATCATATAATACTTCTAAATTTTTAATTACTATCATGCCACACCAAACATCCAAAATGGAGGAATGCCTCTTTGTCTAGCTCTATTACCCAACCCAACAGATTTATCAATTCTTTTCTTTTCCATGATCTCATCATCAATTATAGAATCATCATCGATTAATTTCATTTTACCGCCTATATTTTTTAAGAAATGTTGAAAATAATCATGCTCATCACCATGTTCATGCCAAATCCCTCTTCTAGTATCACTCGCTTGATGAGCAGCTTGGGCTATATGTATTAATGGTCTTAATGAATAATCATCTAATCGTTTAGCATGATTGCCTAAATGTCCCATCATTGCTCTACTTAACCTTTGACCGTCCTTTGAAGTATATTGCCATAAATCCAATCCAACCCCTACATTTTGTACTAGACGAGTTAAAATCATCCAATATTGTAAATTTAAGGTTGTGAATTTGAAGGTAGCACTTTCGTATTGTGTTGGTGAGATTTTTCCCTCATCGATTAAATTCTTAACAAACATAATCTCATAAGGTTGAGTCATCTGAGAAGATAACGATGCATCATTCGCGATATAAAAATGTTTACCGATCCTCATCCTCATCCTATTAACAATCCTCAAATATAATCTTACATCATCAACAAAGCCTGCTAAGGAAGTTACTTGTAAATCATATAAAGTACCCCTATGATCGGGTTTTCTTGACATTTCTACCCCTTCAGGACTATTTATCAACCTTTCTAACCAAATTGAAGCAAATCGTCTTAATTCGGTAAATTCTTTATGTGTGAGAGCTCTAACGCGGTAAAGTAATCTACAAGAATCTAAAAAGAAACTGGGATCCGTCTCTAAAAGATCCTTCGGGAACGTTGAACCTATTTTATTAAATTTTGGTACGGTTCTTGGGATTTTATTAAGGTGTGGAAAATTATAACCTTCATCATTAATAGCATCAAAGTCTGTATTATAAGCCGTGACTTGTACATCATCTTGTTCTCCGACGCCATACGAGGACATTAAAAATGTACGAATTAAGTTTGCCGCCCAACGAGAATAATGAACCTTCCCTGAAAAATGATGTGCAAATGCTAATGTTGTTATATTTTCAAATAGTTCGGACGTTGAAACCTTCGGAAATGGAACTGGAGTCGTTGAAGTATATTGACCAAATTCGTCTTTAACTACTCCAAGATATTCGATTTTTTTCTCTTCAGATAATGTTGTCTCGTTGGAATTAGGATTATTCGAATTTTCTGAATTGCCAGATTGTTGTGATTCGATTCCATTCTCAGCATTAGTATCATTTGAGATTAAAACAGAATTTTGTTCTTCGTCCAACATCACATCTTGTTCAATCGAAGCGGAATCACTTGATTTCATTTGTACTTCTTCATCACCTTTTTTTTGTTGGTGATAAATTACTTTTACTTCATTTTTTTTTTCATCTTCCAATAAAGCCGGAGAAGGATCGGTTTTAAGCTGTAAGAATTTTATTTTAGTACTTATATCAACAGGTAAACCATTATAATCAGAATACCAATCGGCAGCTGCCAAACTCATTGAGTCCGCTCTATCCAACATGAACTCGACAACTTCTTTGATCTCCTCATCACCTCTCCAATATTGTAATCTTGCTTGATTTAACGCTTTCTCATCATACAAAAATAATCGATTGGTATCAAAGCCTTGTACATTTCTCGCAATTTTCTCATCAATTCCATCCAAAAAATCTTGAATGGCCAACAATCTATTAAAAGCTCTCAACGCGCTTGCCTCCCTTTTATGTAATTCTTGTGATGCTTGACCCGAAAATAATCGAAATACCCAACCTATCATTTTATATTTATTCTTTGGAGGAGAGAAATATGGCGCATCATGAGATTCCCATGGTACCGGTGGTTTATTTAACATCTTTCGCGGAGATGGTACACCTAACCTCCATAACATTTCCAATTTTGATCTACGACCATATCTCATATTTTCATTATATTTTTCTTCGGCGTCATGACGGAATATAATTTGTGGTTCTTCAGGCGTTTGTGGTCTAATATCAGGACCGATCAATAATTGAGTATTATTCAATAATCTAGCCATCGGTACTACAAAATATTTATAATCTTTTCCCCATTGTTCAATTTGTGACATAATTTCTAGGAATGCTTTCGTCGTTAAGTAACAATTTCCATCAAATGGAAAGATCCAACGTGTATTGGGTTGTGATTTTCCGTGTGCTATTGCCGCATTTCTACCTCCATTATTATTCATGGCATATATATTTTTATCATGGTAAGCATAATCGATGGTTCTTAATTTAGCTACTTTGGAAAAGTTCATGTATTCATAAGAATGAAAGAAATCAGGTTCAGGGAAATCTTCAAGTCTAAAATCATACTTTAAATATTCTTCAGTTATAAATGGTATTCTAACATAATCCTGATCGTACATTTTTAATAAATCTATTAAGGCATTTTCATATTCATTGTCAATTATACGATTTAAAATCCACCATTTTTTTGTATTAGGAAATTTAGGTTCATTTTCTAAGATAAATCTCACATTCTGTAAGACTTGACCGGCTTTATGCCTAGGAGGAAGATCATTCCCAAGGATTCGATAAAAATGAATTTCTTCACTTGAAGATGAAGGTATTATGGGCCAATTTGATGAAGGTGAATGTGAAGTGTAAAAATTATTATTGTTATTATTATTTGGATATTGTTCAATAGGTGAGAACCAAACATATATCATGAATACCACTGTCATGGCTAAAATGATCAAGGATAAACCGCGACGAATGAGTTTCTCTCTTCGCAATATGGCATTTTGTATATTAAACGTCTTTTCAAAATTCGCTCCCCTATTAAATCGAGGTAATTCGTGAAGATGATTGGATCTTGAAAAATAATCTGGTTTGCTACGAATTGACGTTGCTGACGGCACCATATTGCCGTCTTCAATTGAATCAAGATTTGTTCGATAATTATTGCGAGTAGTTAATCTGTTTAAATATTCTTCTGATGTTTGAAATACACGCGTCTGATCTGTCATTTATCAATCGCTTGCTGACTGACGAAATACATAAATGAAAATGTTAATAATGAAACTATCTGACTTGAAAGAATAAATAAATAAATATATAAAATAAATAAATAAAATAAAAATAAAAATTTAAATTTAACTTACATAGAATGTTTTTTGTTTTCACCTTATATTTTTATTTTTATTTGATACGATGTGAAATGTTATATACAATAAATAAGAGCTTAAACAAATAACTCTATTTAACAACAAAAAAAAAGTTATAGAAATATATATGCGTGTATTCGTTTATTTGTAAATTACAAGTTACCGGATCGTCAGATTATCAAAACCTGACTCTGTGAAAGAAGCAAATTTTTTTTTAAAAAAAGAGTTTCGGTCTGACAGATTTTTTTGTTTTCAAAACTTAAAGCTCAATATAAAGGAAAAAAAAAAAAAAAAAAAAAAAAGTGAGAGACTGTCGGACTAATATACATATATATATATATTTTAATTGTGTGCCAAGAAAACCATTATTTCAATAAAAGAATTGTCAATAAGCTATAAATAGAATATATTTGAACAAATGACGACTGGGAAATTCACGTGAATACAATAATTTCAAAAAAAGGATTGATAATTTTTTGATAATCAAATTCATCAAATTTTTCTTTCAAAATAGAAATCATGAATTTTAGATTGTTAACTAATAAACGTCCACGGCTTTTTCATACATCATTGAGGTATAATGGTAAGTAGTTCTTTTAAAGGCATTAAAGTTTGAGGGAATATATTTTTTTCACTATTTTACTTTCTCTAGAACAAAATTTTCGCGCAAACCATTGCTCCCTTCGATTATCATCAACAATTCGTCATCGATTCTGCAATAAAACCTCCTTCACCCCTCAATTACTTTATCAAGATAAATCTCGATCTCTTTTTCATCATCCTATTGCATTTTCATATGCGCGTTCAAAATCATCCTTTCCACCTTCAAGGCATTATAAACCTCCCCAAAGGGTATTAAAACAAATGATTGCATTTAGCGGGGCGGCACTAACATTTTTCTTTTTCAAACCAATGCTTATGTTTATAATAAACGGAGCTGTTGCTTTCGGTACTTATAAATTATTAAGAAGATTACTGGATAACTTATTTCCAACCATTGATATCGGAAGACAACGAATTTTCGGTTTCATTCCAACGAATACACAATCAAATATCGATAAATTATATTATAAATCCGTAGATCAAATTAAATCGGCTAATTTAACTAATTTAAGTGATGATTTTAGATTTTCTAATCCACATTCGATTTCTTCTAAATCTGTCGCATTTGGATCAACAGGCCATAAAGAAACTATTTTTAGTATAGGATATTTTGGTTTTCATAATGATGTGAAGGCCCTTGTAAAGGTTGAAGGGATCTTGATGCGTGATGATGATATTATGGTAAAGAATATTGAAATGTATTTCCCAAATGGCGAAATCATCCATATTCCTATAGGTCAACAAAAACCTCCGATTATTGAAGCAGAATTTCGTGATATTGAATAGAAAAAAAAAGTCGCACCATTCTTGTTTACGCCATATGTACTGTTTTTAATAATTTGAATGCAATAAACTAGTTTTTTTTCTTTTAATCCCTCATTGGGTGCATTTTAATCCAAACCCAAAAAGTTACAGTATGTAAGCCACACACACTCCCAGAAAGGAAGTTATGATTTATTTATGAATCTTTCGGTTTTTCGAATCACCTTTTTGTTTTGTAATCAGGACGAGCCTTGAATGAGGTGATAAACTTATTACGAAGCCATTGTTGAATCAACCTTGGTGATCATGGTCTGGTCCCTTGCAGAGTTACGACAGGTCCCTTGACAGGTCCCTGGCCCGAAGATTACACAAATAACAGATCAAACCTTATGTTTTCCAAACAAAATTTTCATTATAATTTTTCATTATAATTTGTCATACGTTCATTATTTTTTTACTATGTATAATTTAATAAGGGGAATTTTTTTATTGGTCCACTTGTATTAATTCTAGTTATCCTTAATTTTTCACGTGTCTCATTTTATTGCTTGCATAACTTGCATAATTCGGGCCAAACTCATGTAATAAAACGAACAAATTCGTTTTGTTTGTTTTTGTTTGTTTAACTTTTTTTTTCGCTTCCCAATTTTTTTAAAAAACACCGAGGCTTTAAACATTCATTATTTTTTAAAATATGGGAGTTAATCTTGATATTAAATCCGGTATCGAACCTATCATATCACCTTCACACGCCATATTTAGTTGTATATTTTTTACCTTATGTTTCGTCGGAGGTTTATATTTTTCAAAGAAAACAAGAATTGGTGGCAATAATCCTCGATTAACAAAAGATCACCCTCATGTTATCATGAATCGTGGGATAAGTGTTTTTATCACTTGTATAATTTCATTCATTGGAGTTTGGCTTTTAATACATGTTAGTGGAGGATTTAAAGAATCAATGGTAGATAAAAGATTTAAATTTATTTATTTTTATTTACAAGCTCAAATTTAAACCAATACCAACGTTTTTTTTTAATCATCTCAAATAGACAATTTTATCAGAAATATATACAACATTGGTACTACTTGGATTCTCACTGCCAACCCATCCATATCACATATTAAACACATTTTTTATTCCTTTAGGTCTAACAATGTCATTATTTATTGGTCCTTTATTTGTTAAATTTTTGGATAAAGAATTGCCTTTTCAGGCCAAATTTAATTGGCGAAACGATTTTTTAAATTATATTACAACTTTGATCGGTTTCAGGAATATAATCTTCGTATGTTAAATCTCTTTTTCATTTAATCTTATTTTGTTTCATGCTTAAAATTTTTTTTATTTTTTAAGGCTCCAATGACTGAAGAATTTGTATTTAGATGTTGCATGATTCCGCTTCTTGCTTTGGCAGATTTTACTCGGGTTCAAATCATATTTTTATCACCTTTGGTATTTGGAATAGGTAAGTTTTCTTTGATAATGGTTTCAAAAAAAAAAAAAATTTGCAATTCAAAAATTAATATTAAACGTTTTTTATCTCATTCCTTTTCGCGAGCAGCACATATACATCATGCCTGGGAGGCTTATGTCAATAATGGAAGGACTATGGCAACAGCAAAATTCGCAATACTTGTTTCGAGTAATATATTTATATTTATTTATTTATCGTTCGTCCTAATAGAAATCATTAACCCAGTCAATTGATTTAATTCATTTTAAAAGCATTTCAATTTTTCTATACGACATTATTTGGATGGTATGCCACGTTTTTATTTATGAGAACCGGTATGTTCTACTTGTTCCATTAATCTTTGTTATTTAAGAGTGATATTTGTATTTAAGTAATCCATAATTAATTTCAAAACTTCCTTATTAAGGTCATTTTATTCCTCCATTTTTTGCCCATATATTTGGTAATATAATGGGATTTCCAAATTTTAATATGGCGGCATATCCAAAAAAAGTTAAGAAAGGTTAGAATAATTTGATTAGATTTGATTAATGATAACTAAATCTATATTGAGATTTTTTTATTTTATATATCTTCAGCTATAATATTAGCATTCATCAGCGGATTGGTAATCTTTGGGTTTTCTTTAGGCCCTGCGACTAATCCGAGTTTGTATGAGGATGTAGAAAAGTCATTATACTGGTACAATACAAATAATGGAAGCAAAACCACAATTTAATTGAAGTGAATAATTACTATGGTTATAATATTAATAATATTATATAAAATAGTAGTATATAAACGAGTATTATTGCATCTTTATTATAGTGGGTTTAATATAATATTTGACATTTGAAGAATTATTCATACTTCAAATTTTTTTTTTTTATCCTACCTCTTACTGAATTCAATAATCTAATTTATGGTTAATGTATGACATGTAAATTGTTTTTCTCGAAAACTTCATTTATAACCGAGTCTGAATGGGTTGATTATTTCGATTAACTAATTTATACTAAATACTGCGTATATACGCGGTGAAGTTATTAATATGATATATTATCATTTTATGGAATCAAAGTTTTTTTAAGTAACGATAACAAAGCAAAACAATTTAACGTTATTCACCATTAAGAGAGTATTAAAAAATACATATTAGTTATATTTAGTTATTATTTAAATTATCGGTCAAAGTCTAACATCATATGAGGTGTCAAGGCTTATTCAAGGGTATCCAAAACTTTCATTGACTATCAGGAAGGAAATAAGAATTGACCGGTGGTTCATTATTTCTTAACAATAGGAAAAATGATTCTTTTTGATATGGAATCAATTATGATTAGACCATAAGCATTCGATTGACTGTGCAAAGACTTTTCTTCGTGAAGGAAAAAGGAAACTTCAAGAACGTACTGTGGAATATATCTCCCTTCACAGCAGAGAGTGATAACATATTCCGGTTTATACAGTGAATATACGGACAATAATTCGCAGGAACGTTCGTCTTAAAATTTCTGCTCTAAATTTTAGATTAGTGATCCAGAAATGACACCTTTTGGTGCCAAAAAATTCAAAGTAAAAAAAAAAAATATTATGTTATCATGTGATAGCATTGTTGGGAAATTTCTAATACACAAATCAGAGCATGAATTTGTTTAAAGTGGACTTTATTATATATAGGTAAAGTTGGATACATTTCATATATCAAAAAAACCAATTTTATTTTTAGTGGTATGTTTATAATCGTACTATGTATAAAATACATTAACGTTATTAGTGTATAAAAAGATCTTTCTAGAATGCTGATCTTCTTGGTGATCGACATTCTGCATTTTGTCTGTTTTTTATTGATGCTACACTAACCACTAAAAACCACCTGTATTCTGTATAAAATTTTCCTTCACTTTATAATAAATTTTTTTATTTTCACGTCAACATTATAAAGATGAATGTTGGATCTATTCAAAAAGTTGTTGAAATTCCTCTTCCAACCTCAAACCAAACCGTTGAAATTGATTGTGATCAACTTGGAACTGCGAGGGAAACTCTTAATATGTTTGGCAATGAAGTCACTGACATGAAATATTGGATTCATTTTGCACTCTTTTATAACGTAAAGCGTGATTCACCTGAAGAAGCCGTTAGTATTTTAGAAAGAGGTCTTATGTCACCCGGATCATCAGAAGATCGTTGTAAATGTTTGAATTTACTCGCGAGCATTTACTTTAAAATGTACAAGTCACCAAAGTATCAAGCAAATGTCGAACAAAAAAATCATTTTTTGATTCAAGCTACTGAAAAATTCAACGAAGCTTCCCAACTTAATCCTCATAATCAAATTTCTTTGGTGGGAAAAGGTCTTATATACCTTGCAAAGAAAGATCCGGTGCAAGCGCACCGTGAATTCACCAATGCTTTAAGAGTTTCCCCAAATTTTATACCGGCTCTTTTCGGTTTGGCTCGTATACAATATTCTCAAAAAACATTCAAAGATGCCCTTGCAACTTATCAGAGAATTGCCAGACTAAACCCTTTTATGACTCATCCTGATCCTCGTATAGGAATTGGTCTTTGCTTCAACAAATTGAATCGATTCGATGAAGCTGTTCAAGCCTTTGATAGAGCTATTATAATGAATCCAAATAGTGTACCAGCAAATATCCTTCTTGCCACTATTGAATTTGACATTTCTAAACAACTTGATCCCTATGAAGATATATCTGATGAAGAAAGGTTAGCTAATTATTGTTCTGCCATGGAACGTGTGGAATTGGCCCTTGATATCGATCCTACTAAATCAAGTGCTTTGATTCTTATGGCACATGGCTATTACCTTCGAGAAGAGATGGATTTTGCAATTGAAGCGTTAAGACGCGCTGAGAAATATGCGGATTCCCGATTTATGCAATCTGAAACGCATTATCAACTAGCTAGAGCTTTTCATTTTATGGAAGATTATGATAAAGCGTTTTATCATTATTATCATGCTATAGACATTAATGAAAATCACACCTCAGCTCGTTATGGGTACGGACAAATGTTAATTCATAATGGTTATTACGATGAGGCAAAATCTGAATTCGAGAAGTTATGGCACCTAAATATCAAAAATATGGATGTTACCACAGTTTTATGTGTTCTAAATGCTCATATTGGTTTTAATGATTTAGATCAAACAGCCAAGCAAAAGGCATTAACGGATTTTGATAGGATCTCAAAAGCTTTTGTTGAGGATAAATATAAAAATCCCGATATTTCAACCGTAAAGGCTTGGTTCTTCGAGCAAAGGAAAAATCCGGTTAAAGCGCTTGCATCATTAAAAAAGGCAAAGGAATTATATGAACGACTTCATAGGCCAGTTCCATTCGAACTACTTAATAGGATGGGAAATATGGCCTTTAAAGCTAAATATCATTCTGAAGCGATTGAACATTATAGTGAATCATTAGAAATTGTCAGGAAATTACCATCGAAGGGAGGATATCGTGGATTAGCAGTGTATTATAATTTAGGACGTGCCCATGAGGCCGGTCATAATACAGAGCAAGCGAGAAAAATCTATAAATATATTATAGATCATGGTCCCGAATTTGTGTTGGCACGATTACGTTTAGCCGCAATTGAAGAAAAACTTAAACATCATGGAAAAGTCGATGAAATTATCCATGAAGTTTTAGACCTCGATGAAGACAATATGGAAGTCAAAAAAATTCAAGCACTTTATCAATTAAGGCGTGGAGATTATCATACTCCTAGAAACCTTTTGCATACTTTGGCGGAGAAAAATGATTTAGTTGCTATGACAGCATTAGGTAGTCTATACCTTATTAAGGGACGTCAACTTAAACAGGAGCATGAGAAATCACAGAGGGAAGTTTATTATAAAAGATCTGTAGAATTATTCCAAAAGGCTTTAAATTTGAACTCTAGAAATATATGGGCCGCTAATGGTATTACCGTGGCATTGGCAGAAACCGGAAGAATGCAAGAAGCAAACGAGGGTTTCTGGAAAATATTACAAAATTGCCCTAAGCCTGAATTCAATATTAATTATGCACATACTTGTGCCCTTTTAGGTGATTATGGAAACGCAATACGTTTTTACGAAGTGGCTTCTAAAAAGTATCAACATAGAGATCATCAAATAATGGAATGGATCGCAAGAGTTTATTACATAACCGGAAAAGAACGAAAGAACCTCGAATCATTAGAGACAGCTTTAGATTGGACTCAGAGAGCACTCAGGCTGAAACCAGATCATAAAATTGCGCTCCATAACCTTGCTTTGCTTCAACAAACCCGTGCCCAATTGATTAGCGAAAGGATCAAGGGAGGCCAATCAAAAGCAGCTCCGACTACTTCAACAAATTCAACAAATACAAATTCGACGACCACAACTTCTCCAAATATTTCATTATTGGAATTAAAGAAAGTGATGGATTGGACTCAATGGTCTACAAAAACATTTGAGGAGATACTTAAAGATGAATATAAGAAATTGATGTTCGATCGTGAGTTAGTAAAACATCGCGTTGCCTTCGGAAAATCGATGTTTCAAAGCTTTGATAAAAAGAAGAAAGAGCTTGAGATAATGGAAGAACAAAAGGAGACTGAAAGAAAAGAGAGAGAAAAAATCGATGAAAAGGAACGACTTGTAGAAGAACAAAAGGCTGCTGAGGAAGCAGCTTTAGAAGACGAAAGACGAAAACGGGCCGTGGAAGAAGACAGGATTAGAAATGAGCGTCTTCAGGAGTATGCTGAGAAGCAGAGGATTTTATATTCGCGAGAAGAAAAATCAAAAAGAAGAAGGTACTCTTCCGATGAAGATGAAAAAAATATGTCTTCAAGAAAAGCTCGTCGAGGCTTTTAAATATTTTTTATTTTAAAAAAGTTTTTTTTCTTCACAATTTTGCAAATTGAATTTTTTATTTTAATTTACTAATTTTATTTTTTAAAAGTAACGTGTTCGTTTTATTAAGTGAACAATTGTAAATATGTTTAAATCAAAAATAAATATAATTACATTTTTTTTTTCACTAAGGGATGCTTCTTTTTAAATAAACCATTGAAAAAAATATTTTATTCCAGAAGATTAGACCCGGGTTTAGGACATATCTTACGTCATCTCGTGATAGATCAAAAAATCAGGTCTCTTCATACGGTGAAGTATTGAATAAATAGAGGAACCTTTGGGCTAGGCTAGGCGTTGATGTATTTCTTGCGACTTATCTGATTTTCATGATCGACGATCAAAATTAGTCTCCTAGTCATGTGCCCAATTATTTCTCATTGGCCGAAATTATCATAAGCAGTTAATTATCACAAAAAAAAATTATATTTTTTAAAAATGATAAAATAGATGAAGAATTGGAGACTGCAAAGAAACCGTTGTTTAGTGTTGAAGAAAAGTTGGAAAGGAGAGTGCAGAAGAAGGATATGTTTGTGAACGACAAAATTTAGAAAAAGAAGAGTTGAAGAATAAGAAGGTAATAACAAATTGCGTAATATATATATATATATATATTTCCATTTCGTTCGACTGGATTGAATTTTTTTAATTAAATATCCAATATTTATCCATATTATACCTTTCTTATATAAAGAAAAGACAAAAGCATAAGAAAAGACGTGCAGATGAATATCATAATATCTTGATAGAAATAAAAAAAGTAAAAATTTTTATTGAGGAATGGAAGACATGTCCTAGTAAGTATTTGAATATTCATCAAGGATAACAAA